CGGGGCGAGGTCTTGGATACGGGCGGGAAACGAAAAAAAAAATATATATATTCGAAGTGCACAAATAAGAGAATCTTTTGCATTTTTATTTATTATATTAATATATCCATACGAGTTAAATTTAAAATTTTTTATTTTATTTATAAAGAAAATTACTATTAGTCTTTTAGGTTAATTGCAGAAACAGGAGTGAAGAGAGAAAAGACTGAAAAGAGGACGGGGAAATTGAAGAAACAGAAGAGAAAATGAGGTAATCTCATGTTGGGGAATTACAAGCTAGACAAAGCTATGTTAGTGCTTTTATTGAGTGTGGGGTAATCTTATATGTTGGGGAATTTATAGGTAATATTCCTTTCTTTGTCCTGATAAGAGGAAAAATCACTGTAGATCGATGACAAGAAAACAGTTTTTGGGCCAAGTCAAGAGACAGCAACTATATGTGGAATGAATGAGTTAAGAGGAAATAACCAGAAAAATGGAAGCAGCACTCTCTCTGTCTGGCTTTTTTCCATTTACTCCCTCATGAGTTAGTTACTTAACGGATCTTGTGGTTCCAAAATAAGGTAGTCGGATTTAGTTGTCATCTCCATCTTTATGGAAAGGACAATGATTGGTAGGTATTTCAATTCAATATATTGTGTGATATATTTATTAAAAAATTATTATTTTTTAATATGAAATTAAAAATAAATAAGTTTAATGATAGAATTATGTATATAGGATACATAAATTAGGTAAATTGACTGTATTTATATTATATTTTTAATGATTAAATCAAAAATGTGTCAAAAAAATGTGTTAAACCAAACATGTACCAATTATTTTCCTTATGGAAATACTTCACATCAAGTAAGAGGCGATGCTATTATCACATTCTTAATTATTAAGATCATATTTTTTATTTTAATTAATTATTATATCTTTTAATTTATTAAAATACAAAAAATATAAAATTTTGAAAAAAAAATAATATAAAAGTATAATAGGTAATTATATAAAAAAATGTGTAACATTAATTATTTAAAATATGACAATAAATTTACCCTCAAGTAAGTTAAGCCTAAAAATGAAATTTTAAATACTACTACTAATGCTTTTGATCATGTATGAAAATTTTCTTTAATAGTTTCAGACATAAGTAATTACACCCGGCAGTTAGAAATGATCTTGTTTAGCCATGTTATGAAAGGTTGAAATAGATTTTAAACCCACTTGAATTATATAATTTTATTAAGGTTTTTATCAATTTTTCATTTTTATTTTATTTTATTTTATTTTTGGCAAACTAAAAACAATTAACCGCTACCCATATGAAAATTTCCCACATGCATTCCATATATAGGCCAAACTTCATCTTCTGTTGTTGTTTATCTCATCCTGTCGCTTTTAAACCTGAAGATTACCTTATAATGTGTTGGCAATTGACATTTTAGATATTATGTTAACAATTGTTGAGGATTTTGAAAGCAATTGCAGAGTGCATTCCAAATCCAATGAATGGTACTTAATTTTTTTCATTAATCACTTAAACAATGGTCGATATATGGGTGGGCTGGGAATATTGCTGCAGAGATAGTACTCAGATTGGTTCCATTGGTCATGTTTCACCTGGAAAACACATTTTTGGTTAAGATAGAAGAAGATAGGGAACAGGTAATTAGAGATCACAGATCATTAAAGATGATGAGGAAAACCCTCATGTTCCCTCAAGCACAAAAAGTAAATACAACTCTAATATGTGTTCTACGTAGTGAGGGTGTTTAAACATCCATTTTAGTACACTTCCCTTCTCTTCTTGTAGATGAAACAGAGATCTTCACATCACTAGCTAGTTCGGAATATAATTTATAATTTTAGATAGATTTACAATGATTGTATGGAGAGAACACTGCTGCTCCATAAATAAAGCACGTAATTGCTTTTGGAATGGTTAAATTTAACAAGTTCATCTTCTGTACGTTTTGACCATGCTACATCCGGAACATGATGAGGATTCAAACTATCATGTCATGAAGTTCATTTGGGAAGAGAAAAAGAGCAAGAATGTTAGAAGACATGAAAATGATTGATACACCTTCCCTATATACATAATATATTATATTTTTTAGTTTATTTACCTTTAATTTCATATTAAAAAATAATAAATTTTTAAAAAATGCGATGTAAAATATGTTGAACCAAATGATATACTAATAAATGTCCTAAAAGATATGCGAAAGAGTTTGGAGAAATGACAACAAATTTGAGGAACACAATACCATGCCATTAGGGGTGGCAAAAAGTGACTTGACTTGTTAACCCGATTCTAATTCAACCGGTCAAAATGTGTTAAGGTTTACATATCTCAACTCACGACCTATAAATAACTTGGAATGTTAATTCATATAGGTCACGGGTTGAGTTTGAGTCAACCTGTGGGTTAATGAATTGATCTGTTTATTTTATTTTTTTATTTTTTTATTTTTTTATTTTTTAAAAAATATTATACTTATTATTTTTTATTAATTTTTTTATTGGTAACTCTCTCCATTATTCATACTCTTTAACCTTCTTCCATTACTCACATAGTTTTGAACTTATTTTGAGTATTTGCTCATCATTATTTTTTCTTTCTTCTCTAGAAATTATATGGGCTTGATTTAATTATCAAATACCATGAATTAAATGATAATATAACTAAAAATATTGAAAATGTGATACTAAGTTATAGACATAATGATTTAGTGAAAGATGTTATTGGAAGAGCAATTTCATTATAAAGAGAAGCTTAAACTCCTTGATAAATAATGTTTAAAGATGATAATTACAAAATTCAAACTTTAATTTCCAAGAAATTTAAATATTTTAAGTTTAATATTGTTAATCAATTTACTATTTGTTGAGGGATGAATTTATATGGCTGTGTAACTAATAACGTGTGTGGGTCTACGTCAGCAAAGGCCCACAATGCTTATTTTCCACATCGGACATGCAATTCCTATTTTTTACTAATTGCTGTAATGGAATTAGCATTGCTAGAAACGACACTTATTCACTTCGCTGGAAACATAGCAGAATACGGCTCACTCTAGCATCTATTTCCACATACATGACCAGACATGGTTAGATCTATTTTGGCGACATGGCTGGGTATTTCTTGATGGTCATGTCCTTTGCAACGATATTCACTGTTGTATCTTGTGGCTCCGAGTGATGGACAAAAAGCCAAATTTGCTATCTCATTTAGCTTCCAACAATGGGCAAAAGGTTATACATTTCCACATACTTCATTACACCGACTCTCGGAAACGGACAAAGGGTCGGATTTCTACATATTTTATCTCATTGGCTCTCGAAAACGGACAAAGAGTCAACATAACTCGATATGATTAGTGTGAGGTCGGTAACAGTTGCAACCTTGCAATCAGACGAGATGGCTACCCTCCAACGATAAAAATCCATCAAGTAGCGGTCGACGATCCTTTGATGGTCGCTCCTACATGGTGGTGTGGTGACTGGCAGGCAACAACAACCAATACCACCCTTTGATGGTGCAAGTATGACAAGAAGGGTCAGCGTTTATTAGTGGTGTCACACCTTGTCATATCGAAGGCTATGGATGCGACTAGCGTCCCTTTTCCATGGAGACAACTCCACCCCTCTCTATACATATTCATTACTATAATGGAGTCTAGTTTAATGAGATTTACCCTTCACAACTTGGCGAATTAATGGGAGTGCTCTTCTAATTCCACATAGTTCACACTCTAGTCATAGGCAAAGCTAACCACTGTTGTCCCTTTAGCTATAGGGAAGCTATTCATGACTGACCCCACAGTAGATATATAACATGGTCGGCGATCATGCATATTATCATTCATTTACATAAAGGGACAAAATTACCGATCATCGATAATCCCGACTCATAACACATATTTTCTATGTTTTACGTGTTAATAGGTATCGTCGACTAGCGAAACTTGGCTCGAGACAACGATATCAGAGTACACACCCATATCACTTGTTCCTTATTCTGGCGCAACGCCAGCTATGTACAACAGCAATATACTGGTGATGGCCATAACCATCAAACAAATAAGAGCAGCAAATATTCATCCACATAGTTCCCTTCAACACACAAGGGAATTTCCTTCTTTATTGCATATATTTATACATTTCTTATACTTAAATATTTGAACATATATCTACATGTACCTTGCTGTCATTGCAGATAAATGCAAGCCCATGAATCCAAACTCATGGGAATTATTCAAGATAAACTATGGGAGTAGTGGATTGGCAGGCATGAATGGGTGAACGTTGTCCATCTAGTGAAGCTAGGCATTCGTGCCAGCGAAGCTTGGCGTTGGTGATGCTGTCCAACTTCGCTAGAAAGGGTTGGGTGGTGAAGACGTGGAAGCAGACTTGATCCCCAAAACAATGCCGTTTGATGCTAAGTAGAAGCTTAAAATCCCGTTCAAAACCAACTAGAGATGCTGTTCTGGTCACCATCAGCAACTTGTAGCCATATTTAATGCAAATGTGGCTACGCAGTGCTGAAAACTACTAAAAAGAGTGGCTGCACAAGTTTCATGGCCTTGGAAACTGGTAAAAAAGATTATTGTTTGCTTGTAGAATTTTCCAAAATCCTGTGCAAAGCTTAGAGAACCTACCAAATCCTTTACAGGTGTTGTTTTTGCTGAGGGCACTCAAGCACCTCCCCAAAAATGGAATTTCTTGTGGCCAGAGGATTTCCCAGAAATGGATAATTTTCAGTCCATCGCTAGAACCAACGAAGCTTCGCTGTAACCAACGAAGCTTCGTTGGAACCACTGGGCAATTCCTGATGCCACTATCGGGGAGTTGCCAACAGTGCCTAGAGCCACTAAAAGTTTGGCAGCTCACCCAAACTCATCTGTACACTTCTGACCCATCAACCAAAAATTACAAAAATGCCACTAGCCATATGTATATTATCTTTTCTGGGCAATTCATGATGCCACTACCGAGGAGTTGCCAACAGTGCCTAGAGCCACTAAAAGTTTGACAGCTCACCCAAACTCATCTGTACACCTCTGACTCATCAACCAAAAATTACAAAATGCCATTGGCCATATGTATATTATCTTTCCTTCATTTT